CTAAAATGTTCCGCCCATCGTTCTAAACGTCTGGACTGGGAGCAGATGAGAGTATCGCCTTTTTCCGAAATAATCTCACTTACACTTGACTTATTAATTCCAGTTTCTTTTATTAGTCTGTAAAGCTGTCTTGTGTTCCCTATAGTCGCCGCCTTTTCCATCTCTTTTGCTTTCGTTGCCCACCACTGCTCACGGTCGTTCCTTAGACTTTTTCTTAACCTAGATCTGATTTGTTGTCGCTCTTCATCATGTTCAGAACCTGATGGGACGAGTTTGCGAGAATCCATCAGTGTGACAGACCTTGAAGAAATCCACTGGTTCCTTGTAACTCTGTGGTTTAAGTCACTAATAGATGTCACTGCTGTTTCCACAGCTGCTTGTATGTCCTTCCAAGCAACATCTGGGTCAGCCTCGTCTTCACAACTACCTAAGTGTGACCTCAGTTGTTCCTGGAACCTACTTTTGGTTTTCTCGTTACTCAACTCAGTTCTAATGGGTCTTTTTAATGTGGCTTTTTTGCGTCCAGTGAGGCGCAAGCAGATGCGTGCCCGTATTAGGGCATGGTCGGAGTCCAAGCAGGTACTCCAGAATGAGCGACAATCTTCTACCGACCCTCTCCAACGATGACTGATGGCAATATGGTCTATTTGAGTCCATCGTTGGTTTGGTGTAGGGGGTCGCCATGTTAGACGATGTCTCTCCTTATGCTTAAAATTTGTGTTTGCTAAAAATAAACGATTGTCTGAGCATAGCTGCAGCAGACGATCACCATTATCTGTTCGCTGTGTCGGAATACTAAAATATCCACCTAAATGCCTTTCTGTTTGGTTTAAACTGCCTATCTGAGCATTAAAATCACCTGCTACGAGTACTATGTCTGAGCGTTTAGCTTTCTGAAGAAGTTCGGATAGCTTTCTGTAAAATTCATCTTTCACTTCATCTGAGCTGCAGTCAGTGGGAGCGTAGGCAGAAACGACAAAAAGGCAACGACGTGTGTCCCTATCCTTCCGAGTTCTTACGTAGCCGTTCAGCCGAACAGCACATAGACGACTGTTGACGGGGATCCACTCTAGCAGTGCTTGTTCGGCCCTCATGCTTAGTGCTATGCCTACACCTGCCAGTCCACGAGAACTTGCCATCGGGTCACCAGACACAGAAGGGTGTATCTCGTTGGCTCTCCGTTTGCCGAGGTGAGGTCAAGTGAATGACCACACTGGAATCCTGTATGCGTGTTTCGGAGACACAGCATACATCAATGGAAAGAGACTCTAGGGTTTTAGCCAAGGAAGCCTGCTGACCGATTTGACATAGGGTGCGTACGTTGAAGGCTCCAATGTGTAGTTTGGAGCGAGGTTTCAGTAGACCTGGGACAGTGTTTTGCGCACTAGAATCGTTGGCTATGGTGACACTTGAGGTGGAAGCCGAAAAAGGAAGTTTAGAGTTGAAAGTCGATGTAGGAGGAATAATAGGAATTGAAGAGGAGGTTGATTATGAATACAGTGGTCTTGAGTGCTGTTAGAGGTATGAGGGCGGTTATCACTTCCCGGTTGCCCACACCGTGGAAGGGTTGTTCTGGAGGTACCTGAAAAGGAAATTGGATTAGAAGTGGTCTTAGTGACCTGAGAGCGTGACCGCAGTGCCCAAGGGACAACTGCTTGAGGTCGGTCACACACGACCTTTTATGGGTAATTTTTGTGTTAGCTCCGTACTTATTGAGACCTTACCGCCGGAGACGGATATCCGTGGGATAAGGCGAGGTGTGCATTTTTAGGGTCGACCTTTTCTAACCCCACCCCTCCTTGTGGGAAGGCAGCATCGCTGTCATGCTGGTTGTCTGAAGGAAACACCTTACTGCTGTCACACCTCTGTACAGTCAGCAGTACGACTTCGCCTTCGGACCTTGGGTTTGTTGCTTTTAGTCTTACCGCTCTTCAACCGACCTGTCTGACATGGTAGGACCTTGAGGAACGGTTGTTCCAGCCAGTATAGCTCGGTTGCTTCATCACGATAGGCAAGCCCGACCACCACGTCAAGGTAACAACAACGATCAGGCATCGAACAACGCGGATGCCCTCATCATTCTGAGCCTGCATAAACATTAATTAGTGGTCAAACGCTATGACATATCTTCACTTGTATCAATGCATGTATTCAATGTATGTCTCATCCACTTCCAACGTCTTTCCCTAATTTCCTCTTCAGATGAAAGTTGATTTATTCATTCCCACAATAGGCTGTTGTTGATGGTATCCGTACAATGAACATTCAGTATCTTACATAGATAAGTGTTTATGAGAACTTTTCCCTTCTTGATATTAGTTGAAGTAGTTCTCCACATTTCATCTCCATACACAAAGACTATCTTGACGTTTGTATTAAAGATTTTGACTTTAATATTGATTGATAGACAATTTATTTTAAGTTTCATATCTTCTTTAACTTTAAACATAATATACTACTGATATTTAATAAGAACAATCATCATCATCACCATCATCCAAAGCATCATCATCATCATCATCATCAACCAAATCATCATCATCATCATCATTCAACTTTCAATATCATTCATATATGATTTCATTTACAACGAAACAAACATATAATAATTGAATATTTAAATGTATTCTGTACAACAATCAATCATTTCATTAACTCATTATTATTCCAATAGTTTCTATGCATAGAATTATTGTATTCACTTGATATTGTTCATTTGAATAGTTTATTAAAGTACATTTAAACAAAATGAAATAAAGTTTTGTTTTTTTCAATATGAAAATTAAAAGAAAAAAAAAAGTTTTTCAGTGATTAAAATTACAAAAATAGGTACATTCATTAAATGATTTGAAAGAATTGATATTGAAGGTTCTGGATTCGAATTCTGAGAGAGTGGTGGACGGTAACGCATTTTCTTGGATTGATTGAAGTTAGACAAAAATACCGATTGAATGCTGACTGGTTCAGTGATCTAGAGGTTAAACGTTCACACACGACATTGAGAGTCTTAGATACCGCCTTATTGATCTAGAAGTTAAATGTTCGCGTACAAGACCTAACGTTCCGGATTCGAATCTCACGTGTCAGATCGTGAATATACATTGCTGAAGAGTCCCATAGTAGGACGAAACGGGCGCCCAGTGCTTCCAGGTTTTCTACAATGTTCTAGTTGCAGTTGAATCATCATTTCAACTATTGAAAAAAAACCATTGGATGAACGATTACGTAACATTATGAATAAATCAAAGTTAAATATGAACATTATTAGATTCACTAGTTTAAAGATTTCGAGTTCAAATATGTGAAACTGAATGTCGTTGATTTGAGTTCCACATATATAAAATCATAGATGTATACTTCTGAAGAGTCTCATACAAGAATAAAACAATCTTTCAATACTTTAAAGTTTTCATAGATCAATAAGAACTTTCGTCTAAATTTGAACGAATAGTTTCACACTATTTGGGCGCCGAGTTAATGTAAGTCATTAAAGAGGAAGAATGTTGTATTTGTAAAATCTCAACGAAAGAATTGGAAGTAATTCTAATGTTTCGCTTGGCAATCTGGTCCAAGATTTTTCAAGGAAAATATAATCAAACAACAAAATTATCGAATAAAAATAGCGGTACATGGTTCTCTGGTTTACTGTATACTTGAATAGGTCATACAATCAACGTGAACAATGTTTAAAGTAGGTATTTACATCAGTGTGTAAGAGATATGTGATGAGGAAACGAAAAGTGTTAAGATAACAGATAGTGTGTGTACGTAAAGGATGTGACAAGAAGATATTTCATTCAACTATAGATTGTCTTCGTTCTGTGTATATTAAGAAAAAACATATCATTTTATACATGAAATGCATCAAAAATGTCACAGCATGCATTAAATGAAGACAAATAAATAAGATAAGTAAACAAGATAAAAGACTGAATTCAAAGAGGAATGTATTTGTAATTGAAAGATTGCGTTCTTTTAATGTTCCAGTCAAATTGTTTAACATATTCAGATTAAGTGCCTGGCGCGATACTGATAGGTCCTGGGCTCGAATCCCATGTGGTGTGGGATCATGGATGCACACTGATGAGGGGTCCCATACCAGGACGAAACGACCGTCCAGTGCTTCCAGGTTTTCCATGATAGTCTAGCTTCAATTGACTCATGATTTCAACAAGTGATATTCAGATAAGCTAACTGATTTGAAACCGTTGAATGTATTATCTATTGATTAGTTAATATGATATAAACAAATCAAATGGAATAAGGAGTTCAGGTTTACTTAATAATTATTAGTTGCCATAGGACAGCTAATTGTATTTCATCTCTCCTATTAATACTGTTTGAATTAGCTCATATATATGTAGGGCTTCAGCTGTTAATCGTTCTTTCTAAGAATTAAAGCCTTTTTAAATGTTTCTTACACCATAGATCATAGATCATATAGTTTCAATGAATTCAATTTTTATCTTGAATTGTCAACTTAACAACCATTTCAATGTTTTCATTGTTTATTTAATTGTTATTTATTTATTTACTTTTGGCGGTTTATCATCACTTTAAATATTCAGAAATTAAATGTTTTATTTCATGAGTGTACTTGTGTGTGCGCGCGAGTGTCTCTATTTGTGTTTGAGTGTCTGTGTGTTAGTGTGTGTATGTGCAAGTGTTTCTGTGTGTGTGTTTTTACGTTTGTGTCTATGTCTCTGTGTGTTAGTGTGTGTGTATGTGCAAGTGTTTCTGTGTGTGTGTTTTTACGTTTGTGTCTATGTCTCTGTGTATTAGTGTGTGTGCGAGTGTCTCTATATGTGTTTGTGTGTTTGTATGTCTGTGTGTGAGTGTCTCTTTGTGTGCGTGTGTGTGTGTGTTTGTGATGTTTATGATAATGAATGAATTCATTTTAATTGTTAATTTCCTATATATATATATCTATTTCTTTTTATCTAAATTTTTCTTCTTTTTCTTTTCTTTTCTTTTTTGTTGTTTTTGTTTTAATAACCAAGGAAACTATTTATCAGTTGATTGTCACATTACTTTATTGTATATCAATTGGTGTAACATTTAATCAAATAGATTATTTACAATATTTTATTGGACCAATTACAGTAAGTAATGTCTATTTAATTATAATTCAATATGTTATGATTATATCATTAGTGTTATTAGAGATAAGAATTGATTACAAAACACATTTTGATATTAATCAACATATGCTCACTAGTGACTGACTTCAAAAGATACTCCTGGAGTTCTAGTGAGAAGTCGTCACCAGTGGAGTTCAACCAGGTCTATTGTGAGTTAGGAACTCACTGAAGACATTGGTGTACGGTGGAGCAACTTCGTGGATTGATTGAAGTTAGAAATTTACACCGTTGGGTGCTGGCTCAATAGTCGATTTGGTTAAGCGCCTGGCGAGAGACTGATAGGTCCTGGGTTCGAATCTCGCGAGGGGCGGGATCATGGATGCGCACTGCTGAGGAGTCTCATACTAAGACAAAACCACAAAACCCCTTCTGATAATAATAATAGTAATAATAATAATAATGAAATGTGATTATTGATATGAATGTGAAATAAAACATTTGATTATAACTAAAGGGATAAAGTTACTTGGTAAGATGGTGGTTGGAGGTAGTCAACAGGAAACCATAGACACGGGTATCGTGCTACTTGGCACTCGTCAGCAAGGTATACCTGTAGACTTCAGGGAACTGGTACTCCCTGACGGATTCAATCCCGTGTCATCTAGCTTCATAGTCAGAGATTTTACCACTAAGCTATCCACGCCGCGACTGACTTCCTGTAGAATTGATATATATTTACAATTGATTGATCATCGAGTCGATCACTTGGTCGATAGCATTCGATCTACACTAAGAAGGACTTGACACACATGACATTGATCACCACCTAGTGGTCAATAAATTGTGTAATTCACTTGGTATTGTTGTTTAACTTGAATCTTCTCATTGTTATTTGGGGCTGCATCATGTCCGAATTGCTTCAATATTGTCCTGATTCACAAGCATTGTAAGCAAAGATGAATAGTGGTTGGTAGTGGAATGCAGGACGTGCGGTTCATCCTATTTGGGACTCATCAGCTGGATGTACCTGTATTTCACAGTTGATGTTCTTTCGGAGACTAACCCAGTACTGTTCGCTCCAAACTTTATAGCATTATCCACTTATCTACTGAGTTCTGATACCCACTTTCTTGTGTAGTGGTATGAAGTTTAAATTCAGCTGGTATTGTTTTACTTGAATCTTCCCGCTGATGGTTAGGTCTGCGATTGGTCAGTCTCTTATTGAGATGCAGGTACATCCAGTTGATGAGTCCCAGATAAGACGAAACTGCTAGTCATTATTCATCTTTGCTTATAACTACAGGGATAGTTCGCATTATGAAAAAACTATATTTTGCAGACTATAAGAAATTGGAAAGTATTAGACAACTGTTTAATTCTAGTATGAAACATATTAGTCTAGGTCTAACCCAGAACTTAAAGTATTGAGGAGAGCGCATTACTTTTAAACCATCTATAAAGGATATTCTTAACTTTTGTCATTACCTGTTGTGGGATTTTCATTATTCATTCTCAGCAGTGATGACTGTCTTACTTTAAATGTCGCTGAACTCGACCAATCACACTTTTGCTATAATACTTCAAAAAGCAATAATATTTGTATAATCACACTGGATTAGGTAACTATGGTTGTAATCCATCCAAATATTATAATTTTATATTAACAATTATTCACAGACTTATGCTCAAGGATATGATTATCAGCACCATTTGAGTATTTCGGTAATTTGTCAGTAAGTTTGATATAATTAACTACTTGGAAAGATAATGCTTGATGTCGAAATCATGAACTTCCCATATCAGTACAGCTCTTTTTTCAACATCATCCCATTTATATATTTGAAAACATAAATATTGAAACAAAGAGATACCGAATACATATGCACCATATAACTCCCTTGATTCGTGAGTGGACTGTGATACTCCTCGGATGCCCAGACTGAAACAGATGGTTTTCTCAGTGCTCTACTCCCGAAGCCTTCTACCTAAATGTCTGATCCACATGGTAGGGGAGCAGCGTTAGGAGATGCAGTCTCATGGTAGCCGGTGACCAACAATAGGTTCATACAGCATTTACTTCCTCAGGATCCTGGAGCTCATGTACACCATTGGTTTGGAATCATTGTCCAACTCCCCTAGGTGGACCCTCCATATCCACCAACCCGAATATTCGCTTTTTGTCCTCTCAATTTCGTAAATAACACCGGTGCCGCGAGAAGGTAGTAAGTAGAACTTCCCTGGCAGTGGTTGTATACGCGTAGCCATGTGAGAGTTTAATGGCACGAGATCTGACTCCAATTAGGTCGTGTGAATGTTTGCTGTCGAAATATATGTTCTGACTACTCTCGTATGTCTTGATCGGCTTGGATCGCGTTAGTGAATAACGGGATTAAATAAGCTAAATACGAAAATGGATTTCGAATATGTATATTCCATGCACTCATTGATTTGAACAGGCAGTCAGAGAATGAACCCTAGAGATGAGAGCGAATCGAAATTAAGCGCAGTGAATAAGGCCAATAAGGCAAATCCATTTAACCAAGCGCTAATCAATATTTATAGTCCCACGAAAATCATTTACAGACATGTGATGAATAGGATAAGATTTGTATACATAGATAGGCTCATATAAAAACAGTCAAGTTTGGATAAGTGGATAAGTAACAAGATCAAAACGTAACTCAAGTAGAATGAATATATTGGCCTGTACGAAAGCTAGAATACGGTATATGGGCTTAACATAATAACCGATACTACAAGAGTTTTTCGAGAAGGAGAGTGAAATCTCCTCACTCTCGTCCGTACCATTTGGGCATTTGATGGCAATATCATCCCACTATCTCATCAGACAATGTTTACAATTAAATTATTGTTTAACATCTCCCACGTTAAAAACTCAAGTTAAAAAGAGACGTTAGAGAGTTCAAAGAAGGTACAAATATTTATAACTACTCAACATCCATTAGCTGAATACCATCGGCAACAGCTTTCTTTGGGAGAGAACAAACCACCTCCCAGCTGAAGAGGGATTTAGGAAAAGACGATGGAATTGGATAGAACATACATTACGTGAATCATCAAACTGCATCACGAGGCAAATCTTAACTTGGAATCCTGATAGGAAACGGGAAAGAGGAAAGCCAAATAACACATTACGTCAGGAATAGAACCAGATATGAAAAGAATGAATAACAACTACAAAGAGTTGGAAAGGATTTCTCAGGACAGGGTTGGATGAAGAATGCTGGTGGATGGCTTATGCTCCTTCACAAGAAGTAACAGGCGTAAGTAAGTTCTAGATCCTCAAACAATAAAGAAAAAATAATACGAAGTAAGATTATTGACCTCTAGAAACTTCTGAAACAATGCTAAATGATTTTATCACCCAATTAGTGTATAACACATAGACTATCAGTTTTTTTTCTTTCTAGACACTTGAATGGAATATACTATTGTAGACTTTTTGATAACTTTAATCAATGAGTTCTAGGGAAGAAAAAAACCCCGACAAAGTATACCCTTCACTTGGTATTGTTTGGCTTGTATCTTCTCATTGAGGTTTAAGACTGCAATTGATCAGTCTGTTATTGGCATATGTGCATACTGTGCGTGAATTGAAACTCACCCCATCGCACAAGCCAGTGGCTATCAGAACTCAGTGGCTGAGTGGGTAACCGATGGCGTTATAAGCGAGTGGTACTGAGTTTGAGTCCTAGAGTGAACATCAACTTTGAGATGCAGGTACACCCAGCTGATGAGTTCTAAGTAGGACGAAACGCGCATCCTGTATTCCACTGCAAGCCAATATCCATCATTGCTTACAAAATATACCCTTGTTGACTTAACTCTTTATAAGTAGTATATTTCAATGACTCATCTGATTGTTTTACAATCATAATTTCATTCATTTATATAGATATTTACATCAGCTAATTTTGGAGCTTATATATTTGGTAGTATGGTTGCAATCACTGAATTACTTTGTAAACATCCAGATATCAATACTACTAATAACACTACTACTACTAATAATAATAATAACACTACTAATACTCCTATGAATACAAATTCGAACCCTAATCCATCTCAACCTGTTAATCAATTGAATCAAAGTAAATAACAAACAACTCAATTGTGTTGTATATTACATTATATATATATGACCATAGTTATCTTATTTACCCTTTAATTACTTTATACAATATTACTATTATATGCATATTACTGAATGATCTATCTATGTATTATGTAATTGATGACAATAATCAATGATATACAGTATTCTTTATACAATTTGATTGTAATATTGAATTATGTTTATGATGGACTGTTGATTTGATCCTTGAAGATGTTCTTTTAGAAGGTTAGAATTTGGTTTATTTCAAAGAATAAATGAATATACAATTCATTTATTACTTATCTTCTGTTTAACGTCGCATGTAGCTCTTCTAGAGTTACTGTCGATCCCAAGCCCGAGTAAAGGAAGAGGGTTAAGCATGGGGTTAGCGACATCATCCTATAGAAAACTAACTCGCAAGAAAAACGTTTACCAGAAAAAGTAATTCAAACCATTTAAACGCTGCCCTGGGAGTTAGAAGGTCTTCATTTAGAAGGATTATGACGCCTGATGGTGAAATCCGAGTTTCTTCGGAAGCCACGAGGCCGATGTCCCTTCTAACAACCAGAGCAACAATTTTTATAGGTGCATGGGACGTCCGAACAATATGTAAGTTAACTTCTATTTATTAGTTCATTCAAGCTAGATTATTATGAAAAAAATTTGAAAGTACTATAAGACCATTTTATTCTAATATGATTATGAATACAGTGACTTGAGTGCTGTTAGAAGTATGAGGGCGGTTATCACTTCCCAGTTGCCCACACCGTGGAAGGGTTGTTCTGGAGGTACCTGAAAAGGAAATTGGATTAAAGGTGGTCTTAGTGACCTGAGAGCGCGACCGCAGTGCCCAAGGGACAACTGCTTGAGGTCGGTCACACACGACCTTGTTTGGGTAATTTTTGTGTTAGCTCCGTACTTATTGAGACCTTACGCCGGAGACGGATATCCTGGGATAAGGCGAGGTGTGCATTTTTAGGGTCGACCTTTTCTAACCCTACCCCTCCTTGTGGGAAGGCAGCATCGCTGTCATGCTGGTTGTCTGAAGGAAACACCTTACTGCTGCCACACCTCTGTACAGTCAGCAGTACGACTTCGCCTTCGGACCTTGGTTTAATATGAGACTAACCAATAATACACATTCATAATCTCGTATGCGGGATTCGAACTTAAGACATTTAGTCTTATGTACAAACTTTAAACTTCTAGATTAGTAAGTGAGTCGATGTCCAACGATATTACCTAAGACTGATGATCTTTGTATGATTCACTTTACAGAATACAATATGAATAAAATTACCCATTTGAACTAAAAATTCTCAACTTGACTTCAACATATTTGATCTGTTTTCATTTCAATACAAAAACTTCCCATTTCAACTTACTCTATTTTTGATGGAAATTTGTTCTCTAAGCTGGATGGTTTGGTCGTGGGGTTTTTATTGTTCTTCTGAACGACATCATCAGCACAAACTTTAGATAGAAGTGAAGTGTTCGAGTTTCTCCATATGTGTTCCACAGCTTGTTCTGTGCACCTCGATGTTGATTGGTTCTTACTGACCTTAAATTTGTCATTGTTTACTTTATTGTTTTGGTTGTGCCTCCCATTGGTTTGATTTTTGTTCCTATATTTGTGCATAATTTTCCAGCTCATTCTTTTTGACGATGACTAATGTGTCGCCTACATAGCGAATCCAAATTTTTGGCTTGATCACTGGTAATATCGCGGCTTCTAGTTTTTGAATCACTGCTTCTGCGATCAGTCCTGATATCGGTGATCCCATTGGTGTCCCTTTCGTTTGCTCGTAGGTTTTGTTGGTGAATTCAAAATATGTTGTTAGGTATAAATCGATGAGTTCTAGTAGACTTTGAATTTGAAGCTTCGTGTACTTGGTGAGATTTGTGTCGTTGGTGAGGAGCGGGGATATAGTTTTCTTTGCTAACCTTGGTTCAATTGAGGTGAATGACGCTGTTACATCGAAGGATATCATCAGTTCGTTGTTGTTGATTTGAATGTCCTTAATTTGGTCCAGGAATTGTGTGGGGGATTTGATGGAGTGGTTGGATGGACCAACTAAGTGTTTCAGTATTCGTGAAATTTCTTTTGACAAATTGTATGTTGGTGTTCTGGGAAGTGCTACAGTTGAACGTAGTGGTATGTTTGGTTTGTGTATTTTTGGTCTGCCGTAGAATCGAGGGAGTACTGCTCCGTTGGATGTCATTCTCCATTGGTCTTGTTTTGTTATTTCTCCTGCTTTGACTAGCTTGTTTAAAGTCTTTGAGATTCGATTGTCTAGTTTTTTGACGGGATTTATATCCATCAGTTTGTGTGTGCTCTTATTTTCAAGTAGTTCCTCGGCTTTTTTGACGTATTCTTTTTGTCCATAATTACTGTAGTGCGTCCTTTGTCCGCTGGAACTATTACAATATCCTTTTTAGTTCTGAGTTCCTTCAAAGCTTTTAGTTCTTGTGGGGTCAGTTGGTTGTCTTCCTTTACCTGTTAAGTTATCGGCACTATAGTTTGTCTCATTTCTTGTTGTGTTTCTTCACTGATTCCTGAAGTTTTGAGTGATGACTATGGTGTTGCGAGGAATTCCAGTTTTGAGGCGTCGCTTGTATTGTAGTCTAATCCCTTTCGGAGTAGGTGTTCTTCCATATGTGTTAATGGTCGTTTTGACAAATCTTCTCCACCATCTTACTCTGTTCTCTTTGGATTCTAAATGTTCAACATACATATTTTTGAGTAACTAATATATTTTCCAAAAAAAATTATGATCAATCTAATTGAATGTTTGAATCGGTTTCCTAAGATCTTGCTTGTAATAACCTTCCTCCTCCTCCAGGCTAAATCAACACAGCAACCTGAACACGAGAGGAAAGTAGCGAAATATGAAAGAAAACGCTTCACTTCAAAGGTTCGTTTATGTATAAAAAATATAGGGTATTTATAGTCTTTTAGATGGCTTTATGTTTCCGGAAAATTCTAGAACGCTACTAAACATAATAGTAGCATAGGTACCTATCATCCAATCAGAAACGTAACATATAGCTTTTCACTTTCTTCATGTTTCTGGCAACAATTCTATTGAATGCTGATTGGATAAAATGTTTTTCAGCATTTCTAGATCCTATGTTGGTTTTATTTTCCGAGGAGTTTTCTAGATCTTTCCCAACAAATTACTATTCAACAAGCATTTAGTGAAACACTTTTAAACAATAACTTGAATAAGTGGAGTAAATTGAAAATAGATGAATTCATGAGTCAATTCAAGCTATACCATCATGTAAAATCTGAAAACACTGGATGAACATTTCAATCGCGATTATAAATACGTACTGCTCAGGAGTGCCATACTAGGATGAAATGGCCGTTCAGTGTTTCCAGGTTTTCCATGATAGTCTAACTTCAACTGACTGATGAACTCTACTATTTAGTTACTACAATCTAAAAAAAACCTCCTTCTGATAATAATTATCATGTGCTCACTAGTAACTGGCTTCAAGAGGTATTTCTTTGAGTTCTAATGAGAAACCGTGACAAGTGGAGCTCAAGCGTGTCTGTTGAGAGGCAGTTACTCACTGAAGACAATGGTGGATGTGTCACTGAATTTCGTGAATGGGTTGAAGTTACACATTAATACCATTGAATACAGGTTGACTCAGTGATCTATAAGTTAAACGTTCATGCACAACACCAGTAGATCCTCGATTCGAATCTTTCGGGAGGCGGGATCATGGATGCATACTGCTGAGGATGAAACAGCTTTCTATTACTTCCAGCTATTCTATCATGATCTAACTTCAGCTGACTCATGTATTCAACTAATAAAAATGACTAAAATATTAAAAAATACCCCCCCTCTCGTTTCTGATAAATTCAAAATAAATTTTTTTTCCTATTCATTATCAAAATTTAATTTTATTCGATTATTCCATAAACAAACAAACGAACAAACAAAAATTATTACGGTTGCTATGACAACCAAAAGTAAACAATCAAACGATTGATTCAGTGAAACAAAATCTATTTCTAATATAAATAGACAATTCAAATAGAACGAGTGTTATTTGCATGAAATAACATTTTGTTTTTCATATATGAATTATAAATACGAATTTCAATGAATTACTTATCATGATTAAAGAATAGAAAGAACTCAATACAATCAGTTAGTCAGTCAGTCAATCATTCAGCTGCAATGTAGAATCAGGCACATTATATGCATCGGTTCAAGTTGTTATAATTCATTAGCTAATACAACAAGATGAACATCAAATTCATAGAAGTAGTCACTTAAATAGTAGTGATCTATAAACAAAGATTGCAAATAAGGATATAGTACAGGAAGAAAGAATTAGTTTGTAGAAAGAAAGATATGAGACGATTTTAATCTCTTAGTTTAAGAGAAGACAGGGAGTGTATACACCGACGCCATTGTGACCGATTCTGAGCCATGTCACCCAGTGTCTCTAACCATTGGTTATGAAAGTCACGCAGACCCCAATCAAGTAGTCTGCATCTACCAACATGGCTCAGACTAGAAGTTAGTGACTTCAAGCGCTGATGTCACATTTCGGTTTGACCGCCCCTAACTTCCTCCCAACCATCCTCAACACTAATCATCATTGCGCGTCATGCAAACCGATGTTCAGGCATACGCAACACGTGACCCAACCATCTCAGTCGGTGAAGATTTATAACCTCATCAACTGATTTATCATCATTACCTAATACCCTGCGTCTAACCTCACTATTACTTACTCGGTGATCCCAGCAGACGCCAGCAATATTTCTAAGATATCTGTGGTCAAATACTAATAGCTTACGGGTGTCTTCTACTCTTAATGGCCATGTTTCGCCGCCGTAAATTAAAACAGAACGGACTGCCGCGCAGTATACTCGTGCTTTTATTGATAGACGGATAACTCGCCTTCGCCACAGGTGACGTAAGTTGGCAAAAGCCAAACGAGCTTTTCGAATCCGTGCTGAGATTTCGTCAGAC